ACTTCCATACTAAAGGAGAGATTAAAACTAGTAAACATGTTTCAAAAAAACGTAAAATATAGATTTATAAAATAAAATTTATTATACATTATAATATTATATAATCAATAAAATTATAGCATTTTAACACGTGATTATATTATATATTTTTTTTTTTATTCTCTCCCCCCTCTTTATTATCATTTACTATGTTATGTTAAACATAGAATTAAATTGGTATGGCCTAACTGGGGAACATCAAATAAAAGTCTTTTCACGAAAATTTATAATGAAGTTTGTGTTTGTTTTGCACGAATCAAAGATGAATATATTGCTGAAAGCGGATTTATCTTCATAGCTGGAATAGTGAACTTAAACTTTTAATCGAAATTCTCTATATGAGTTGCAACAAAAAAAAATTAATAATTGAAAAGTATCTTCTGAAAATTGAATGAGTTATAATCATTGTTTAATTTATCTTCATAATAAATTTTAATTTATTTTGACAAATGTAGCAAAATGGTGACGTTACAATTTGAAATGCATAATACCATTTGACATTTATTTACCAATAAATCTTCATTAGATACTAGCCTTTAAAATTTTTTATAAGAAAGTAGTAGAAAGGAATTTGCACGGAAGAAAAATCTAAATTTATAATTTTTATTAGTATTAAAAAGTCCAGAATCTCAATCATCTAATAATGTTCGAGTTTCCTCATCATTTAGATATGAGAAAATTAATAAATTTGAGTAATAAAATAACTAATATATTGAATAACGTATGTGGGTTTTCGTGATCAGCACAACACTTTTTATGACAAATTAGTTTCACAAAGTCGTGCCCAATATAACTTGATTGCAACAATCTTTTTTAGAATATATTGTATTGTCTTTAGGAATTTGTTTGTTAGGTGGATAATTCCAGTGGAATTAAACTTCCAAATTAAATAAAGCATGGTCCCAAGTATCAAAAAGATTTACGACGCAGCTGATTTCACAATTTTTTTTTTTTAATCTTCTTTCGATGACATTTACCTGTTTATTTTAATCCTAATGAATTATTAATATCTGATATTACTTGCTTTATTTGTGCCAAAAGCAACAAAGAAAGCGATACGCCGATTCCGATATGAAGATAATTTGGAAATATTTTTATCTTACAAGAATTACATTAAAGGAATTTAATTGTATTTATTGATAATAGATAAATTAACTTATTCCATTTTTTTTTTTTTTAGTGTTCGTGATGATTTTCATTTAATTTTTATGATTATTAGTCTAATTATTTTTTTTTAAGGATAACGATAACAATAAATTTATCTCCAAAGAAAGCAAAATGAACAATGTTAATGCGCCGATGAAGTGAATTTACGATTATCTCGGGTAAAAGTCTTATAAATTGATCATGTAATTAGGAACACGGGATATCAACTCGTTCGAGCAACTTAATTTATTGATATTATCGAGTGGGAAAATTATACTCAGTAGTCATTTATACATTTTTGACTAATGAAAAACCCTCACAAGACTTATCTTAGGACCCAAGTAGAAAAAAAAAATTCTTAATATATAAATGAAACAAAATAAATGAATTAAATAAAATAAAATTAATAAAACAAAAAAAAAAAATCAAAACTAATTCACTAAAATATATATATTCATCATTTCTAATATTTGAAATTCAATTTAAATTCAAACGGACCGCAGTGTCTCTTAATAAATTGATTTTAGTAAGTAGTGGCATTTTCGTTTCATTTCTCTCCTATTTTCGTTCTTGTTATTTTATAGCTGAAATTCGTTAACTTTTGATATGACAAATCGGTTTTGAACATATTTCCAGAACTCGAATTCGACTCGATCTTTATTAATGCCGAATAATTCTAGTATATGATTAATAATAGATTTAATAATTAATAATTTATAACATTTAAGGTTTATTTATTATCTGCGCCAAAGATTTGCATATTTAAATAATTAATCTTGCGGAGTCATGTTTTATAACCTATAAAATGGTATATTCAACTTTTTAAAAAAAATACTTACGAACAGTTTATACACAACTTTTTGGCAAAAAAGTTCACGTAAAACTTTTCCGTTTGCAAAGAAAAAATTTATTGGAAACATTTATTTATGATAGTATTTCGAGCGAAGCTGGTTTATCTAAGAAGATTTCCAAATGAGGCTTCGACGAAATGTTCCAAAACAAATAGATATTACCTGAATAATCCATATTCAAAGCATCTGAATAACGACTATTACCTTAAACAAAAAAAAAAAAGGTTATTTCATAGAATAATTTTTAAAATAAAAATAAAAATAAAATACCATTAACTTTATATGTAGAAAACCAACTCTTTTTTATTTTCACATTGTTACACAAAATATTTACTGCTTTTTATTTTATTTTCAATTATAATTTATTTTACATTTTTAAGTCGATACCAAGTCAAATTGAAGTTCAACTACACCAATTTCATATCTTTGATTGATTTAAAGATAAGAGAAATCTAATAAATGTGTGACAAAGCTGCGCTTTAGGATGTTGTGCTCGGTAGATTAATAAAATAAATTAACAATGTCTACCCAAATAAAATTTAGTCTGCATGTGTGCATGAAATTTACAATTTCGAAATAAAAATGCGACAATTATGGATGACAAAATGAAATGTGTTTTTTGTCGGAGACATCAATTTAAGTAACTTGATAAAGAAAAGCAAGGGTGCTACACAAGACAAGCTTCATTTATAATATTCTTTTTTTAGCGATCGACGTTCACACAACATTTTTGTGCAATTGACAATAAATATATAAAACCTCTCCTCTTAATTTTTTCCTCTTAAATTTTATAACAATGCCTGTACTTCAAAATATTAAAAAATATATCTGCTGCGGGAATTCAGGTAAAGCTAGTAAATATTTATTTTGTATTTATCTGCCGAAATTAAATGAACGTTCTAACAAAAAATTTTTAAATACATTTGCTTATCAAACTATAATAAAAAATATATGTGTGAATAAATAAAAATTTTAGCGCAAGATTCGGATGACAATAAAACTTCTACAATAAAATTAATTGGTAAATACATTTATTTCATCAAACTATAATCCTTTAATGATCAATTTTTTAAAATGTTTCTCTAAAATAAATAAATTATCGCCAGAATTGAATCTTGAGAGATCTCTTGCTTCAAATGGTAAGTATAATTTATACAATTTTTTCATCACAAAATACCAATATTGATAATAATAAATTAGCGCCAGATTCAAATGCTTTGGAAACTTCTGCATCTATTATGCAAAACGGTACATGCATTTTCTTATATTAACAATAATCGATTTCTAAATTATTTTCCTAATAAACATTTTGCGTTAGACCCTGATCTCGAGCAAACACCTACACCAAATGGTAAGATAATTAATTATACATTTTCCCATCCTAACTATCTAATAATCAAATTTTCGTAAATAAAAAAAAAAAAATAGGGATAGGTTCGAATTTCGATAATATTTCTACTCCAAATGGTAAAGAATATTATGTAGCTAATTAAATATTAATTTTTATAATTACTTTTTATTAAAACAAAGAATTTAAAATTTTAGGACCAACTTTTAATAATGAACCATTAATTCTTGATGAAATGGAAACCGAAACCGAAATAATATTATTACCATTTGAGAGTTTTTTACCACTAATAAAGGAAGTAACCGAAACGTTTAACGATATAATAAAAATATATCAAACAGCTGAACATAATAAAAAAATATGTGGGATATTTTTGGATAGAGTTCAAATAGCTGATACT